ATATATATATATATATATATATATATATATCTGTATGTATGTATCTGTATATCTGTATTTTAACAACATCTATCAGCGCTGCATACTTTCGGATCGACGATTAAAAAAAGTAACCAAGTCCAAAATTATATGTACTGCGCATGACTGGACTACACAGGCAAAGCTCCCCGGTGTGTTATTCATTTGCATCTACTAGGCTAAAGAATATGGCTAGGCCTACGTGTTTGCAAAACTGGATAACCTGAAAAAAAAAAATTTATGGCTCGCATGACTCTCACATTGGCTCGCATGACTCGCTGGCTCGCACTTTGGCACTACTCCTGATATCTCGTGGTCTTAGCTTTCGGGACACCCATTTCAAAACTCATCTAAATGATCATTAAAAGTTTAACCACGTTACAAGGATGACATTATTATGTTTTGGTGAATCCAATTTAGGGTGTAAATTTGAGGGTTCTAAATTTTTAACGTTCCAGACCTATATCTCAATAAACCTCCATGGATCTAAATGGAACTTTCCATATAGTTTGTCATATGGTCCAATAAAGAAAATGATTAATTTTGGGTGACCCGTTATTGGGACAAATAATCACATGCAACCAGGAAATTAGAAAATGCAGCATCTGGAGCTGATATTTAACATTGTTAGTCTTCATAAAGGTACATTTTAAATATTCCTGGCTTGGTATACCGATGGGCAGCCTTTATCGCAATTGATAGAGCTCTGTTTTGACCATTTACCCTACTATATCTCAGCTTACTTTACAGAAGGCCTACCCAGGAAGTTTATACCTAGGCCTAGACAAAACATCTGTGCCTGTGCAGGAAGTTATATAGGCTGTGTTATTTCGCTTGTAAATAGCAATATACTTTCTAAATCACAGTAGGCCTAGCTGAATATGTGACACACGGTTTAATGGCTACATTGATGAAGATGGAATGTTATCCGTACCTGATTTGTTTTGCCCTGTTTGCGTCATTCACTTGTACTTTGCAAATCACTTGTTATAACCACGACCCTCTTTCGATTAATGGAACCCACCCTCCCAGCGATCTACGTTGTCCAGAGAAATGTAACTGCACATATTGTGCAAACAGAGAAAGACCGATCTTAAAATACCGCCATGATGTAGATTGTTCACGTCAGGAATTATCAAAAACTCCTTCAAAGAACACGTTACCAGCTGATGTTGTTTTTTATTTCTTGAAAATGAATAATATTAAATCACTGAAGAACAATTCCTTTAACACATTAGACGTCTTAGAACATCTGTATCTTGACCATAACGAGCTAGATGACACAGGTATTGAAATGGATGCATTCAGTGGCCTGAGAAAATTGAGATATCTCTCGATGAACAATAATCCATACTTCAGTAAACTTCGAGCAGCATGGTTCGTAGACCTTGTATCGCTAGAAATATTACATCTACGGTTCTGCGAAATTGACACATTAGAGAGTGATGTCTTTAAGCATTGTAAACATTTGAAAGAAGTTGATCTTTCTCACAATTCTATTCTATCATTCCCATCAGGCGTTTTTCAAAATCTGTTTGCACTCATGTACCTATACATGTCCAATAATAAAATATATGAACTTAAGAATCAAGCATTTGTCAATTCCAATCGTATACAGGCAATCTCTCTTCATGACAATTCCCTCACTACCATTAACGAAAATGTTGGTTTTCAAAACTTGAGACAATTACAGAAACTTAATGTCGCATTCAACAGCTTCTTGTGTGATTGCAATTTAGTCTGGTTTAGAAAGTGGATAAACAGTACGAACGTCACAGTTGCAGACATTTTTCATACAGAATGTTATCGTAAACCTGGACGGAAGATGTACATCAAACTGCTGCATTTTGATCCTGATACATTACAGTGTAGTAAATTAATTAAGATCTTAAAGATCACCATACCGCCTGTGTCAGCTTTAGTTGTCATTTTAATAATTGGAACTCTTCTGTACTACTTCAGATATGATTTAAGGTAGGTTATTTGCGGCTATTTGCCAAACTAAGAAATAAAAGAAAATAATGGGATGTGGCGTGAGGGAGACATTCTGAGGACTCAAAGTTTCAATCTATTTGATTATTTTTGGAAATAGTAGGCCTATTTGAGAACGATAAAATAGATCAAAAGTCAAAATGCCTCCGTCTGTTTTCTGAGTTATTATATATAGGCCTATTAGACGATATATTATTAATATATCGTTTATATTAAGAATGTTTCTGTAGATTACAGCAATATATTTATTATAATCTAATTAGTTTTTAAAATATTAATCTTGACAAGACAACGACAGATTGCTGCTCCCATAAGTTCTTTATTCGTATTATTGTTTAGTCACTATGAAGGAATTATATTAACCTATGCTCCAATGTTAACATATAAATCTACATTTTAAAAATCTTATGGTGTATAGTAAACATAAGTAAACAAGATTTTCTTTTTTATTTTTTGTAATATTACTATTGAATTAGTACTGCTCGGATATCATCCTTGAAAATCACTCTCTGCAATAAATGAAAAAAATAATAAATACCGTTATATTTCTCTCAAATTATAATAGATTACCAATAATAACAGCGCTAGCAATAATGACTAAATGAATGTCATAAACACACGTGTTTATGTACGTTTACGCTGAGGTTTTGTGGGACCATAAAAATATCCCAGGGATGGGGCTCAGCAGAAGGTCCACTGGTGTTAAGATTTATACTCAAGATGAATTTTTTATTTTATTTATTTATTTTTTTTTTTTTTTTTTCGTTTTGAATGAAGGTACTGGAATCAACGACGACGTCTTAGAAAGCAATATGAACAAATTAACAAGCAAGGACCACCACCAATCAATGGAGAAAACATTAAATATGACGCGTTTGTGTCCTACAACAGTAAAGACCAACCTTGGATCATTTCTGTATTGCAACCAAAGTTGGAAATCGATCGCAATTTCAAACTGTGTGTTGACTACCGCGACTTCATAGCGGGAGAAGCAGTTGTAGATAATATCGCGAATGCTGTTAAATACAGCCGAAAAGTGCTGTTGGTTGTCTCCAAAAACTTCATCAAAAGTGAATGGTGTTATTTCGAACTAGAGATGGCACGCATGCGCATGTTCGACAATCACGAAGATATCCTGGTTGTGGTTGTACTTGAGAAAGTGTCAGCGAAAGATATGCCGATCCTATTACATAAGATACTGACCACGAAAACGTATATAGAGTGGGAAGAACACCCAGAGGGACAGGTATTGTTCTGGGCTAAGCTGGAAGCAGCACTCGTGTCACCTAATTGCCCCAGATACAGACTTCTGCATAATCCCTGCAAATGAATAATACGTAATGAAAGTACTGATTTCAGTGTAATTGTAACATTTTTATTGTAAATCAAATTGTTAGGCAGATCCTTTTAATCTTAAAGAGCAGTTCGCAACGTTTCAAACGTGGTATGATGCTGTTTACACAGTTCACTTTTTCTTTGAATGCTTAAGAGATGATGTGAATAAATGCGCTATAATAATAATATTTTTACCCATAACCATGTACTGTATTGCTATAATACAATGTCATTAAGTTTCTACTTGAATGTCTTAGCATAATTATTATTGATATAAGATTGATTGACTGGTTAATTTAACTATTCATTAATCGATCAATTTGTTTAATTGATTTATTTTATTGAATGATCGATTCATTTATTTAATTGATTATTGATTGTATGACTGGCTGATTGTTCAATCGATCGTTCGATCGATAGGTTGATCATACAATTAATTAATTGATTAATAGATTGTCGGTAGGTCGATCGACAAATTGACTGACTGGTTTGAATGATTGGTCGGACGATTGACTGTTTGGTTGACTGATTGATTGAGATATTGATTTATCCTTGCTGAATCCACGTGCACATTTGAATGGTTCACCAATAGTGTTACCTGTTTTAACATTCGCCACTAATTTACTATACATTGATATACTTTCATGTATGATTTTTCCATTTAGCCTTGCTTTTTTAAATTTAAAAATAAGGTAATCATGTCTAATAGAATCAAATGCACAGCGTAAATCTATAAATGCAATACACAGTACCACGTGTTTTGAAAAATACCTGTTTATGATAGCATCTAACAAACAAACATTCTCCATGGTACGTTAAATCTTTCTAAATCCACTCTGTTCTTGGTGCAAACAAATCTTTCTCATCAACCCATTGAGTCTATTATTTAAGATATACAAAAATATTTTCCCATGATTGACGAAAGTGACACTCCCGTGTAATTTTATGGGCAGTCCCTTTTTCCTTTCTTAAATATAGGTAATACTATTCGCCAATTGATGTGGGAAAGTACCACTAATAAAAACGGTATTAAACATTTTAACGATTGAGTTAATAATGCAATTTCGTGCATTTATAATGCATTCTGTTGCAAGCTCATCAATACCTGGGGCTTTATCCTTTTTGTGTGCTTTGATTGCATGTAAAACTCTTCTAAAATAATTTCATCATTTACATAATCAAATATTTATACCATGCTTTAAAGTAATAATATTTCAAATGTTTGAAATGCACCAGAATACGACGCATTACAAAAATATACAGTAGCTAGTGGAGCGAATCGAGTCTCACTTGACTGGGGGCCGCCTAGGGCCTCCGGTGGGGGTCCAGGGGGCGAAGCCACGGGTATTTGATGAATTATGGCGATTTTTTTATTACTTATTTGATAGGCATCGAGTTACTATTAAATATGACTTCATGTAGGCTATGTTTTCTAATGTTGAAATCAGCTTCCAAAACCAAAACCAAAAAGAGTCTGCAATGTAACCATCTGATTTATTTTCAAATTCTCATTCTTGAAAGTGAAATTCTATATTTTGGAAATTTTGCATTAAATCTGTCAACCACGCTGTCATGGTCGAGGTGGCTTCACCCATCACGATGTATTCCAGCCATCATGAGGCTATCTAAATGAACATTTGTCATAACAGAACGCAAATTATTTTTAATTAGTCTCATTGAATTATTATTATTATTATTATTATTATTATTATTATTATTATTATTATTATTATTGTTGTTGTTGTTGTGATAAAAATTAACACAAACAATATGGTGGCTAAACGAATATTACATGTAAATATTTTTTTTTTATTTGTTTGTTCCCCGACAAAATATATCGTCTTCCCCGACGGGGGGGGCTATAGCCCCCAGCCCCCTCAGACGCCACCACTGGGGGATATAGCCCCCAGCCTCCTCTGGCGCCACCACTAGGGGGAAGGGTCTTTGTTCTGACTTTGGGCAATGAAATGTCTAGGAGTTGGGAGGTTGTAGTTAAAAGCATTTATTATGTAAAATAAAACAAAAATAAAGCGACGTGTATACAGACAAAAGCATTCCTGAATAAACTACAGAATATGATTTCGAATATTTTAATGAACAGGTTTTTTTTAAATAATGAATGAGCATTAAAGCTAGAGCTAGATAAAGAAAGTATAAGCAAACATAATTAAATTCATCACAATGTTATTTTTCTCTTCTCATTCCTCTCCCTTTCCCTCTTCTTAGTCTTCTTCTGGTTTAACACTGGATTTCCCAAACTTATTTGACGAACAATATAAACTGCTAAAAATGTTCTATAACATCACGTATTACCGGTATTTTACAAGTAGGTTTTATTTATTAACGATCTTAATTCTTTTTTGGAACTTTAGAAACAGAAATAACCTAATTTTATTTGTTCCTAAATAGGTACCGGTACTTTTTCGCGACTCACTGAAATTTTTCGTGGCCTGAATTTGGGTCGCGACCCACAGTTTGGGAAGCCCCGAAAATGTGAACTGACATCAAATCGATGTCCTTTTAAAATGGATATATTTGAAAATATTGTGGCGACAAGATTGAAGTATGATAATGGTTTGTTTCTCATCGATGGGTCTGAGTAATATCATCGTAGTTTGGTTTCACACGGAAGCGGTGCTAGGAATATTTGTTTCCCTTACTCTTTTCATTCATTTCAAGAAGCGCTCAAACGTTCGCTTGCGTTTCTGCTTTCACCGAGAAGATGAAAGCATGCGAAAAAATATTGGGGGCTTGTTTTTTTCATAAACCATCAGCCTATTCGGTGGTATATAAAAACTGAGCGGCCTGAAAATTGTATCGTATGTCCATTCGTTCACCATCGAGTTTGTCTCAACTGAACGAGGCAGTCGCAGACTTCTTTATGAAGGATATTCATATCCTTGATAAGCAAAGAGATGCGACCAGTCATTGGAGATGCGAGAAAAGGGGTGAATGTAAGGCTAGGTTAACAACAGAATATGACCATCTAAAAAATCAGGCTCCTGAACATAGTCACCCACGAGATCCAATACGAATCCATGTCGCAAGGACTGTGTCCGAAATCCGTCCTTGCATGACGATATTGTGTTTTTGGGTGCCTTTGCCCATAATCTGTAAAAGATTTTCCCCAAATAAAATTAGGTCTATAATAATTATGTCTTAATACCATGAGTCATGATGTTTTATGATTTCATAGTTTATAATTACGCTATTATTTTTTTTTTTTTTTTTTTTTGTCGTTATCTACATAAATCTGAATAGTTTTAAATCATATACTAGACGCAGTAATGGTTTGAAATACTTAAATTTATGATAGAGTTTAAATTGCATTATACAGGCCTGCTTGTGCAAGGAATAAATATTTTAACGTGCTCATACGTTTTAAAGCCTAGTTAGGCCTGCTTTAATGATTTAATAAAATACCAAATTCACTGAAATCATCTTTAGTGTATACAACGAAGCCTTGCGAAAGAAATTAAAGTTATTGAGTTCTGGTTTAACATAATGGTTCGCTTATTCATTTTGTGGCTACTGCTTCTGTTTAGGTAGGCCAACTTTGGGCTGAATTATAACAATTAAGCCTACCTCCAGGGATGCATGAGATTGGAGTAGACGAAAATATTAATGTATTTATATTATACCACTGATACCATTCACAATCATCCATGTCACATTAACTCATTTTAATTATTAAATGTCTTGACCAACACTTCTTAGGTAGGCGAATTTAGTGTGTCGGAAGAATTAATTTTATTGTTTGAATTTGTCCAGAGAAGATATAATATGTGGATTTAGCTGTTGACGAGCATATTTCAATTAAAATGGACACTGTCGACAAATAATTATCAAACCATTTACCGATTTGGAAGATTTGCATGCATATAATTAAAAAACAAAATTTCCTATAAAAAAAAAGTGTGTCATGTTTCATCACTTCAAATACAAAATATATCCAGAGTGTATCTCTACAATTTACTACGAATTTTCCACTTGTCACTGCCTCAATTCTGTTTATCACAGTTTTGTGTTTGTATTCGAAACACACATTATTCTATTATATAACTCAGTCATACTTGTACTAAATATATCAATTAACCATTCATGTTTTATCATTACTATAATTGTCACCATGGGATTTCATAAATACTGTAACACCTCGATTTAAAGTTAAATGGACTTAATCTCGAAATGAAGCCAATCTTGAATTGAAGCCCCCTCTTTAGTTTCCACCTCGTTACTTTGCAAAAGTAGCCTCGAAAAGAAACCCATATCGAAAAAAGAAGCCCATCCAAAGATCACACGACCAGACCCACCATAGATGAGGCTGAGGTGCGAATATTCTGAGAATATTGACCTCTATGTGCCCGGAAATTGCACTCTCATAGCTTAAAAATTGATATTATGTTCATATCAACAATACAATAGAAAAAATTGTCTCTTAACACAATTATGGGGAGGGAGTGCGAATGAATCGTTGCACCCCCTGCATCCGCCCCAGATCAGTACGGCCCTTCCATTATTAAAGAATAGTCATATGTTACCAGAATATAGAATAATTCTTTCACGATTTAAACAGTGGCCTACTAATTCTTCTTATCATGACTTTTAGCTCTATCACAGTATGGAAATTTCAATTTCAATGCTCAAAACATAATTTAACATTTGATATCTTTAAGCTGTGGACAATATTCGGTACTAGAAAGGTTCCGGACATGTAACAGAAAAATAAATCATCTAAATATGCCACTTGTGACACATCCATCCATTAACATATTCACAAAAAATGTCGGCGAATTGTCTGTCGGTAAATTGTCTGTCGGCAAATTGGCTGGCGGCGAATCGTCCTGTCGGCAAACTGACATTCGGCGAAATGTGGTGTCGGCGAATTGTATTTCGGTCGATAGTCTATAGGCCAAATGTCTGTCGGTGAAACGTCCGGCCACGAAAATTAATCATCTAAATATGCCACCTTGTGACATACCGTATCCATCCATTAACATTCACAAAAAATGTCGGCGAATTGTTTGTCGGCAAATTGGCTGTCGGTGAATCGTCCTGTCATCACACTGGCATTTGGCGAAATGTGGTGTCGGCAAAATCTTGTGTCGGCGAATGGTATTTCGGTCGATAGTCTGTAGGCCAATGTCTGTTGGCCAAATATCTTTCGGTGAAACGTCTGGACACGCTGATATTTCTTCCTATTGGTATTGGTATTGGTATTAGTACGGTCAGTTATAATGCGTCTCTTCCTTGCGGTTTTAAGCGCAGTTCTTCCTACTGGCATTATTTCCTTAATCACATGCAACCAGGAAATTAGAAAATGCAGCATACACCTACAGTGTGTGGAGCTGATATTTAACATTGTTAAGTCTTCATAAAGGTACGTTTTAAATATTCCTGGCTTGGTAGACCGATGGGCAGCTTTTATCGCAATTTATAGAGCTCTGTTTTGGCCATTTACCCTACTATATCTCAGCTTACTTACTAAGGCCTACCTAGGAAGATACCTAGACAAAACATCTGTGCGTGCGCAGGAAGTTATATAGGCCATACCTTAATACAACTGTGTTATTTCGCTTGTAAAGAGCAAAACACTTTCTAAATCACAGTAGGCCTACCTGAATATATATGTGACACACGGTTTAAGGCTACATTGATGAAGATGGAATGTTATCCGTACCTGATTTGTTTTGCCTTGTTTGCGTCATTTACTTGTACTTTGCAAATCACTTGTTATAACTACGACCCTCTTTCGATTAATGGAACCCACCCTCCCAACGATCTACGTTGTCCAGAGAAATGTAACTGCACATATTGTGCAAACAGAGGAACACCGATCTTAAAATACCGCCATAATGTAGATTGTTCACGTCAGGAATTATCAAAAATTCCTTCAAAGAACACGTTACCAGCTGATGTTGTTTTTTATTTCTTGAAAACGAATAATATTAAATCACTGAAGAACAATTCCTTTAACACATTAGCCGTCCTAGAATATCTTTATCTTGACCATAACGAGCTAGAGGACACAGGTATTGAATTCGATGCATTCGGTGGCCTGAGAAAATTGAGATATTTCTCGATGAATAATAATCCGTACCTCAGTAAACTTCGAGCAGCATGGTTCGTAGACCTTGTATCGCTAGAATTATTACATCTACAGTTCTGCGGAATTAACACATTAGAGAGTGATGTCTTTAAGCATTGTAAACAGTTGCAAAAAGTTGATCTTTCTCACAATTCTATTGTGTCATTCCCAACAAGCGTTTTTCAAAATCTGTTTGCACTTATGTACCTATACATGCCAAATAATAAAATAAATGAACTCCCGAATCAAGCATTTATCCATTCCAATTGTATACAGGCAATCGCTCTGCGTGACAATTTCCTCACTACCATTAACGAAAATGTTGGTTTTCAAAACCTGAGCGAATTGCAGACACTCAACTTATCATACAACAAATTCTCCTGTGATTGCAATTTAGTTTGGTTTAGAAAGTGGATAGACAAGACGAACGTAACAATTAAAGACATCGGTCATACAGAATGTTTCCGTAAACATGGACAAAGCAATATGTACATCAAACTGATGGATTTCAAACCTGATACATTACAGTGTAGCAAATTAATTACGATCTTAAGGACCACCATACCGTCTGTTTCAGCTTTAGTTGTCATTTCAATAATTGGAACTCTTCTGTACTACTTCAGATATGATTTAAGGTAGGCTATTTGCGGCTATTTGCCAAAATAAGAAATAAAATAAATAATGGGAAGGGGAGTGAGGGAGACATTCTGAATCAAAAGTCAAAATTCCTCCGTCTGTTTTCTGAGTTACTGTCTTTTTATTTATTCGAAACTAATTATTATTTACATTACTATATCGTCTATATTAAGAATGTTTCTGTAGATTACAGCAATATATTTATTATAATCTAATTAGTTTTTAAAATATTAATCTTGACAAGACAACGACAGATTGCAGCTCCCATAAGTTCTTTATTCGTATTATTGTTTAGTCACTATCAAGGAATTATATTAACCTATGCTCCAATGTTAACATATAAATCTACATTTTAAAATCTTATGGTGTATAGTAAACAAAAGTAAACAAGATTTTCTTTTTTATTTTTTGAATTAGTACTGCTCGGATATCATCCTTGAAAATCACTCTCTGCAATAAATTTTAAAAAATAAGAACCGTTATATTTCTCTAAAAATATAATAGATTACCAATAATAACAGCGCCAGTAATAATACGGTAACTATGTGAATGTCATAAACACACGTGTTTATGTATGTTTGCGCTGAGGTTTTGTGGGACCAAAAATTAACCCAGGGATGGGGCTCAGCAGAAGGTCCACTGGTGTTAAGATTTATACTCGAGATGAATTTTTTATGTTATTATTATTATTATTTTTTTTTTCGTTTTGAATGAAGGTACTGGAATCAACGACGACGTCTTAGAAAGCAATACGAACAAATTAACAAGCAAGGACCACCACCAATCAATGGAGAAAACATTAAATATGACGCGTTTGTGTCCTACAACAGCAAAGACCAACATTGGATCATTTCTGTATTGCAACCAAAGTTGGAAATCGATCGCAATTTCAAACTGTGTGTTGACTACCGCGACTTCATTGCGGGAGAAGCAATTGTAGATAATATCGCGAATGCTGTTAAATACAGCCGAAAAGTGCTGTTGGTTGTCTCCAAAAACTTCATCAAAAGTGAATGGTGTTATTTTGAACTAGAGATGGCACGCATGCGCATGTTCGACAATCACGAAGATATCCTGGTTGTGGTTGTACTTGAGAAAGTGTCAGCGAAAGATATGCCGATCCTATTACATAAGATACTGACCACGAAAACGTATATAGAGTGGGAAGAACACCCAGCAGGACAGGTATTGTTCTGGGCTAAGCTGGAAGCAGCACTCGTGTCACCTAATTGCCCCAGATACAGACTTCTGCATAATCCCTGCAAATGAATAATACGTAATGAAAGTACTGATGTCAGTGTAATTGTAACATTTTTATTGTAAATCAAATTGTTAGGCAGATCCTTTTAACTTTAAAGAGCAGTTCACAACGTTTCAAACGTGGTATGATGCTGTTTACACAGTTCACTTTTTCTTTGAATGCTTTAAGAGATGATGTGAATAAATGCGCTATAATAATAATATTTTTACCCATAACCATGTACTGTATTGCTATAATACAATGTCATTAAGTTTCTACTTGAATGTCTTAGCATAATTATTATTGATATAAGATTGATTGACTGGTTAATTGAACTATTCATTAATCGATCAATTTGTTTAATTTATTTATTTTATTCAATGATCGATTCATTTATTTAATTGATTATTGATTGTATGACTGGCTGATTGTTCAATCAATCGTTCGATCGATAGGTTGATCATACAATTAATTAATTAATTGATTAATTGATTGTCGGTAGGTCGATCGACAAATTGACTGACTGGTTTGAATGATTGGTCGGACGATTGACTGTTTGGTTGATTGATTGATTGAGATATTGATTTATTCTTGCTGAATCCACGTGCACATTTGAATGGTTCACCAAAGTATTACTTGTTTTAACATTCGCCACTAATTTACTATACATTGATATTCTAATAGAATCAAATGCACAGCGTAAATCTATAAATGCAATACACAGTACCATGTGTTTTGACAAATACCTGTTTATGTTAGTATCTAACAAAAAATCTTTCTAAATCCACTCTGTTCTTAGTGCAAACAAATCATTCTCATCAGCCCAATTATTGCGTCTATTATTTAAGATATACAAAAATATTTTCCCATGATTGACAAAAGTGACATTCCCGTGTAATTTTCTGAGCAGTCCCTTTTTCCTTTCTTAAATATAGGTAATACTATTCGCCAATTGATGTGGGAAAGTACCACTATTAAAAACGTTATTAAACAGTTTAACGATTGAGTCAAAATAACGCAATTTGGTGCATTTATAATGCATTCTGTTGCAGGCCCCATCAATACCTGGGCTTTATCCTTTTTGTGTGCTTTGATTGCATGTAAAACTTCTTCTAAACTAATTTCATCATTACATTATCAATCTTTATACCATACTTTAAAGTAATAATATTTCAAATGTTTGAAATGCACCAGAATACGACGCATTACAAAAATATACAGTAAAGTTTAAATGTACAAGTGGGGGACACATTATATTAATTGATCGGTATCTTTTGTTCATTCACGTATAACATATAACATCAAAATATAGCAACACAGGATGAATTACAGTTTGAATGTATGGTACAAATTAGGCAAATCAATAAATTAATATATATGTATGTATATACAATCACCCGATTATGCTATTATCACTAGGTATAATCGCGTGTCAGTCACACTGTAGTGTGGCAGTATTTCTAAATATTATAACAGTTTCTAAATATTATAAATCTGTATCTCAGTAACCGCTTTCAAGTTTTTCTCCAATATGCTTTTAACATTATATATATTTATATATATATACAATAAAATGAAAAAGAAAGTAATAGGATAGAAAGAAAATATTAAAGAAAAAATAAAGAAAAAAAGGAATAGAAATAAAATTTGTGAAATAAGAGAAAAATATAAAAGGGAATAAAGAAAAGAGAATCACAGAAAGAATTTGGAACTTGAAAAGAATGACAACCAATAGAAAATGAAATAAGGAAGAGAATACGGAAAAATGAATGAAATTGGAAAGGGGAATGAAAGAACATTTCCTTATAGTCAAATTGTGCAAAACACCCACGACAAATAACTAGTATGTTGCCTGCACAGAAAAGTCCAATGAGAACATAGCGCAATTCACTTAAACTTTCCTGAGCACATGCTAATAGTATGCTTTACTTTTAACAAAATGTGTCTATAATCTGACCAGGCATGTGCAAAATCTTGCTAATGTATCTTAAAAACTACTGAATTTTTTAATCCAAGTGTGAACAGCAGTACAATTTTAACAAAGTAAATCAGTATAGAAATCTATTATTAGGGCTTGGGAGCTGTCTCTTATACACATCTAGATGTGTATAAGAGACAGATTTTAGCGCCTTGGGGACTACTGTAGTGGATTTGTGCGCTTTATAAATCTTCATTATCATTATTATTATTTTATTATTATTTTTTTTTTTTAATTATTATGACTGGCTGTTAACTTACGTTTACACTTTAGATTTTGCTTATTAATTGTGTATGTCGACCCTGATCCAGACATCGTTTTTCACAACATTGTTGTTTTCTAGTATTTTGCCTTTAAATTTATACAGACTTACAAACTACTAAATATACCGCGCTAACTTTCGTGCTGCCTACAATAAAAGTTGACGAAATGTTGTCGTTTAAGAATATTACGATAAATACAATTTTGTGCCATCGTAGGAAATTCATTATTTATCATATTTTACTTCAATGTTTTACATTCCGTATTTTCTGTGTCGCTTTAATAAATGGGAGAAGAAGAAGTTACATTACTAAATAAATATTATACTTAAAATTTAATTAAATTCCAATTGTTCGGCACAATATGTCGACCATCATTGCCGTTATACAATTTGGAAGTGAAGTTATAAGAAACGTCCAGTAATGACACTTTTTCCTGGGTGCAAATACCCTTTACATTCCGTCCCACTGTATGTTTATTGCTAACACTTCAAAACCCGCAAGTCATTATTATTTTTATTGTATTTCTGAGTTTTGAGTCTTTTATTACTATTAAAGGTCATTGAAAATCAAAGAAGTTGCTCAAAGGTATGGATTAAATCTATCCTCAAATATATATGGGAGATATAAAGATTATAGAAAGAGGAAATTCTTCTATTCAGACATCAACAAAACAATTGCTGCGTTCAACATAACTTACAAAATGATGTTAAACTGTGATTTACCATTGTGAATTGGTAACAGTACCTTGAGAAAGGATGTGTCCTAATCCTAATCGGATAATCCAACAGTGTATAAAACTTGGCCTCATAGTTCAGTTAGTAAAGTATCCGAACGATTATCGGAAGGTCTTTGGTTGGAATCCTGATAGGACATATACGTTTTTCTCATATATTTATATCAAAATGGTACTGATAATTTCATGTCACATTTTTATAAAAGTATAATAAAATGCAGACATGTGACTGAATTACGCAGAGTTTTAAAATGATAAATCAGCTTTCGTATAATAAGCAATTGGTAAAGTTGTCACTCATACACAGGTGAACATTTGTATAATAAATGTTAAATTATTCGGCTTGAAAACTGAAAACCCACAGGACCTGAATACAATTTTTTAGGACTTTAGAGTTTTAAGGAACGCTCTAGGCGAAACGTAAGTTCGACAGCGAACAATGATGCCAACACTCAGGAGAATTTTATCAATAGATGTGGGCAATGTTCTTGGTCTTGTTCCCACTTTTCGACCAATGACAGATTCAATGGGGCCATCCGCCCCCCCCCCTCCCATGTATTTAAAATTATAAACAAAATGGAGGAAACAAGAAAATTAGGCCTATATATTCAAATTTAAGTATGAGCTAATGCAATTTCCGGCCATCCAGAGGTGCCATAATAACGAATGTTCATACATCAGCCCAACCATTGGACTGAAGTAGTCTAGACCATCTATCTGTGAAAATTCCTCCCTGGAACCCCTCTAATTCGTATTAGAGGATCAGCCACTGCCTACGCCGCGGCGCGCCGTGGTGCCATTCTAACATAAAGGGAGACGTACCTGTCTACTAAAGGCTAATAATCCAATAGAAGGATTCCCACAATTTTCAGTTAAAAAAAGTCTTATTATATAGTGCTTTTAACGGCTTCTTTGGATGTATTGCATCCTTGAGAATTGTTATGGGTTTCATATTTTTACATAATTCTAATTAAGGTTGTGTTTGTAAGGTATGACTATAACAACACTCTTAACATCTGACCTAGAATCCAGGATTCTCTAAAGTTCTTTGTTACGCTTGTTGTTGAGTTTGAAATATAACTAAAAAGTAAACAGAGGCATGTTTGTTTGGGATTGGACGTATTACCTTGTATACGGGAATATGGGACAATGACAACTTGGATCTTTTTGTCTGGATTAAGTCTCAACAAAGTAATAACTATTTTTGTTAAGGGAATTTAATTAAGGCCAATGAACTGAACCGTGGAATTCAAGTAGCAACGGCGTTATCTCATGACGGGTTTGTGGTGAGGCTCTCAGGTACTTGGTGACCACTCGTATCGATAACCTTTGGCGTTTTGGTGTACTTAACTAAACGTAACACAGGTCATAAACCAATTAAAATCATAAAAGAAAATCTGAAAATGTGTATAGTACACTGTATGCACACACACCGTACCCACAGAGTTGATCTGTTCAAAAAGTTTGGAGTCAATTGTTAGAAAGAGTTTCCAAATGCACATTTTAAGTTACACAATGCAATTTTTGACAGAATAAGATTGTTAGATTATCCTAATTCCACAAAAAAAAACACCTTTCCTTTTATATTTTAAGTGTTATTGAGGAACTGTACTTAATTGCTGCTTTGTAAATGACCTTTTTGAGCAATTGTACATTAGCAAGCTGCAAAAAAAAGGGGGTTCTCAATAACATATCAAAAGAAAAAGGCAAATTACCAAAGTTGCAAAATAGTACAGTTCCTCAATAACACAAAAAAATGAAAACGGATATGTTTATAATGGACATTTTGATGTTTTTGCGTTATTAAGAACATGTACTTTTTACAGCTTTATAGTGGATCTTTTAGCCCCGCTTCCCAGATAGTGTTGCTAAGGTATGGAAGCTTAACACCTTACGGTAAAACTTATTCGTAAGACATGCATGAATTCCTATTAAATCATTCAGTTTGGTCAGTTGATAAGTTCTATTAAGACTTCCGGAAAGAGCCATTAATTTCTTCCTTTTCAATACCATTACAATTGGTTCCAAGCATATAATTTATATTATAATAATCAGTCTTTTAATATTCTATCGTTTAACTGTTTTGGATTTAATAGAGGTCTTAACTCTTTAAGTAAATTAATTTTAGATGTTAACTGTGATGTCGTTTTTATCTCTGAGCACTGGTTGCGTGTTAATGGATATTTTAATATCAATCAATATTTTCAGGACGATGGTTTTCAGTTCTTGTTAAAGTCTAGCATTGACCATGAAGAGTTGACCTCTGGTCGTCCTCATGGCGGTATAATAGGTTTCATATGCAAGTCCTGAAATATTCCAACTGAAAATCTACGCATAAGTAAAATATTACTTTACACTGCTTGCTTAATTTATATTTCAATATACCCACCTCTAAGTTATATCAAAAAATTACTTGCCAAATAACATCTCCTGTCAATTTTCGTTTAAGATTTTTAAATCGTTGTGATCAATGGCCTATTTGTTTTTTTTTCTTTTGTTTTTTTTTTTTCGTTTTGTCTTTTTATCTGTGCTTTATTGACCGCTTACCATATTGTAGATTTTTAGGTTTTGTTGTTATAATGGAATTAGTATTGAATTAATACGAAGTTTGTCATCAGTAAAACATGTGTTTTAAAGTTACAATGCACCTTCTTGTTACCTATAACTGAAAGTCTTACAGCTGAGCATTAAATATTCGATTAACTGAACACTTTCCAACTTTTCATTATGCATTGCATGTGGACGAATACATTAGTTTGAAACGAGATACCATCATTATACGATATAATTAGTCTACCTCCACAGATAGTTATATCTTTAAAATACCACATAATAGAAAAACAGACTCGGAGTAGAAAGAAATTAGAATTACAAACTGAATTCTTCAACTACCCTCTTCCAACTCCAATTATAGTAATAACAATTTGTGAATAACATAAAATCGGCGCATATGAGATAAGCCAACCTATTATTACTAGTAATATTTTAGAGGCACCTACAGGAATAAACTCACCATATCTCAGTTAAACTGTATGTTTAACATAATTTATATAATTGGCAGGAGAGATAACGAATGTTTCACTTTTTTTAGCGAAGGTGGATGTATGGCTGACGCAGCGACAGTAGGGCCTACCAATCATGCGCACACTTAAACATTTTAAATAAATATGCATA